TGGGTTCTGGGCTTTTTTTTTTTTAGGAGTTCTGTATTTTTTCAGTCTTTGGGGTATTTTTGGAAAGCAAATCACATTGCCCCAAGCACCATGTCGGCAGCAAGACCCAGCATGCAGATACCACTCAGCAACTCACACAGCATGGGTTCACCAACACCCCCACCCCTCCCCCCAGTCCAGTGGCTCTTACATAAGCTAGCACAGTTAGAGGGAGATGTGATCAACGGAGCCAGGACACAGGCCAAGGAGAAACAGCATCTCCTTATTTTCCAGGTCCAGAAAAAAAAAAGAAAAAACAACCAAAGCAAACCTCCCAAACACAGCTTATTATTCACATTTGCCTGTGAACTAATTCAGCACTACTGCTTGCTTTAACCCAAATGATACTCCAGTTCCCTCACAATTTCAGGTTGCCTGTAAATAAATAATGCTCCAACATACTTCCAACATGGTGGGGTGTGTGTGTAAGAAAACCACATTTCTAGAGTGCAGCTTACAGTTCAGAGTGCATTTTGATTTCACACAGATTTACACACCAAAGCACCTTTCTCATGGCCCCCACAATCCCCAGAGCAAACCCAGCAGAGGAGGGAGGACACTGGTTAGGAGGCCATACCTACATACATACAGAATAAAACAGATGCTGCTGAAAAACACCACTGATGAAAACCATGACTTTAGAGGCAACAGCTTTTAAAAGCACCACAACTAGTCATATTCCAGACAAGAGAGATTGTGGGTTTTTTGTTAGGTGACGTGAGAGGGAGGAAAGAAATAATTGCTCTCAGGAATAGCTCCAAAACGCCCAGTCTGGGAATCACTACTAGGTGAGACACTTAAACAAAGAAGATGGAGTATCCCTCTCTCTTCAGGGAGGAATTCTTCCTGCTAGAGACAGGGCTCCCATACAAGAAAGCGGTTTTTATACGGGGCTATGGAGACCAACACACCCATTGTCTACCATCTGGAGCTTTCCTGCATTCAGACAGGCTGCAGCACAGGCCAGGTTTTGGGGGTGGAGGGTGGGCAGTGGGGAGCACAGGACACCTGCAGTCTTTCAGGCATCTCTATCTGCATTTATAAATAGTCCCAAGGAAGGGGGAGATGCAGGGTAAAGGGAATTAGGAAAAAAATGTAGCGCCATTCAAAGGAATCAAAACAAGGAGGACAGGTCAGGGCCTTTTCAACAATGGCACCGCCAATGCTCGGGGCAAAAACCCAAAAAGCAGAGAGAAAAGGCAGGGACAAAGGGGGATGGAACACCCCCCTCATCTCAGAATAGGGTTATTTTAAGCCTGTCTCCTTGGAGCTACCCTAATATTTTCTCTCATGACTCAAGTCACCAGGGAAGGGAGGTAGAACAGAGGAGAAAAAAAAAAGACAAAGTAAGACTAACGCTGTAAAACTCCCGACTAAGAAGGGGCAAAGCTCCAGAAGAGATGAAAGGCAAAGTAGTCTGTGCCTTACCTGGAAAAGTGTGTGGGTTGGGTGACCCTCTTTTAAGGCACTTTGAACAGAGGACGTGCACAGTGTAGTACAGGCCCGGCCATTCCTGGAGTAGAACATTCAGTTCTTCCACTAAAGGGGTAATAGCTTGCCAAGCTGTCCAGATATTTGGTAGGGATGCATGACTAGCGATAGACAGAGTATCTGGCTGCAGAGCTCCCCTGGCAGGCCGGTAACTCACCACCACGGGCACCTTTCCCCGGTAGGCATAGATCTGGTATTTGCCATCTGACCGCTGAACAACATGGCTGTTAATCTGGACGCTGTAGCGTGCAAACAAGCCGGGTGGGAAAATGAATGGAAAGCTATATTCAATCTGCAGCTGCTCAACCACAAAGGACTGTCCACTCAGATTGGCACCGTTGATCCACGCCTCTGCATGGGGCACCTCATTTTTCACGTAGCAGGGAAACTTGTACCAAGCGGCTGCCCCATTTAGGGGTTTGCATTTGGGTTTGTTGACACAGTAACAGAGCCCCATCTTCTCCAACAGCTCCAAGATGAGCTGCAGATCCTCACGGCTCTGGATGTGGGGCTTAAGAAGGAGACGGATAACGTGGGCAGGGAGGAGGCCGTGCAGCAAGAAGCCCTCCACGTAATGATGGAGCTGAGTGGCCCTCAGTTCATCAATGTGGGTGTCGCTGAGCAGTTTCTGGAGCAGCACGGTGGCATCCCGCTGGCAGAAGACATTGAGGATGTCAATGAGCCGCGGCAGGTTGTGGAACACATACTCCCGCAAGGTGAGGTGCTCCTCAAAGTAGAGCAGCTTCCCACTCTCGTGCAGGTAGGACAGGGCGCTCTGGAGCCGATCCTCTGTCAGGCCCGCCTGCAAGCCCAACCGGGCAGAGTCCCACCAGCTAAGCCACAGCTGCTGAGCTTGGGGCTGGAAGTGCAGCTCCTCCAGCACTTGCCAGGATTTGGGCAACACCCGGTGCAGGTTTGGGAAGATATCCCGGTGCTCAGCTACTGAGAGGAGCTTGTCCCGCAGGCGACGCACTTGGCAACGGTCCTGGCAGCTGAAAGGCAGCACTGGAGAGAGGATCTGTGGGCGGTGGTTGAGAAGGTACTGAAACTGGGCTTTCTTTCGCCGCAAGTTCTTGTCCGAGACCCCATAAAAGGCAGCGTGCGGGCTGGAGCAGCGCAGGTCAAAGTCCTGTCCCAGAGCTTCATCCACCTGCTGGACCAAACTCTGGAGTCCCTCAGCATCCCTCTTCTCCTGCTGAGCAATCTGGTGATGGATGTCCAGGCACTTCTCTTCCAACTCCCGCTCCGCACAGAGATCAGCATGGGTTCCCACCATGCACACCACGGCATGGGGCACCTTGGAACCAAGCCAGTGCAAGAAATAGCCCACAGAGGGGTAAAAGTGCTGAGGGACGTAGGCACTCAAATTCACCACCAGCACGTACAGGGCTCCAGGAGAGAGGAAGAAAGACTGGATCACATCATAGCTGGGGTCCCCAGCCAGCTCATACACAATGAATGTCAGGCCCCTCTCTGCATCTGCTGTCCAGTCCATCACCTCAATACCCTTGCTGCCTCCCAACAGTCCCAGTCCTGATGGTGCTTGGGTAGCATTCGGTGGCAATGGCAGTGCAGGACACGGTGTTTCCCCTTTCACTCGATTAGAGGGCACGTGAGAAGGGACGTCTTGCCCCTCAATGGGGAAATGTTCCAGCTGCTGTATGGCAGGTACCCATGCTGAGGAAGTGTCCTGAGGCTCGGAGAAGGGGCAACACCCAACTGGCACTCTCCCACTGTCCTGCTGCTGCCCAGGGCACCCTCTGGGCTGGGTGCTTCCTGCCTCCAGACTTCCCACGTCCTCCCTCTGCCCATCCTCCTCCATGAGGCATCGTCTCAGCAGGGTCTTTCCTGCATCCTTTAGGCCCATGAGGACCAGCTTGAGGCGGGGTTTGAGGGCCGGCTGGGAGTGGGCCAGCTCCTGCTGGTAGGCTGCGATGTAGGGGATGCCTTTCATGCATACCTCATAAGGGGGCTGGATGAGGGGGTTGTCTTTGATCTTCCACAGGGTGACACGGGAAAGCTGCCCAAAGCCCTCAGGCAGGATGGCAATCTGGTTGCCTTGCAGGACCAGTTCCTCCAGGCTGTGGAGGAGCACGATGGAGTCAGGCAGGTAGCGGATGCGGTTGTTGTCTAGCCAGAGGGTGCGGAGCTGGCGGAGCTGACAGAGGCGAGGGGGCAGCAGGGTGAGCTGGTTGCGGCTCAGGTAGAGCTCCTCCAGACTGGGCAATGCCAAGATGGCAGCTGGGAACTCCCCCAGCAGGTTGGAAGAGAGGTTCAGCATCTTGAGCCGCTGCAGGCGGCCAAAGCCGGCAGGCAGGGCCTGCAGCCGGTTGCCGTCCAGCATGAGGCTCTCGAGGGCGCTCAGCTGGCAGAGGCCCTCGGGCAGGGCTGCCAGCCCTGTGCCGCTCAGCCAGAGGATCTTGAGGCGGTGCAGGGCAGCGATGCCCTCGGGCAGGGCCCCGAGGTGTCGGTTGCCAGAGCAGTCGAGCTCCTCCAGGGCGGCCAGCTCCAGCAGCGGGGCGGGAAAGGAGGGCAGCAGGTTGTGGTCGACGTCGAGGGCGCGGAGGTGCCGC